TTTAAATTTTAAACATGATGCCACATGTGACGTGACGTGTATTTTTTCCACGTCGGAACCAGTGCAAGAAAGTATCAGCTTCTTCGCCAAGCAAGACTTGTATCTCCCCTACGAACACCGAATATAGCTTTGTGTTCCTACCCTACTCCGCTGCTATTCGATTGAATCTTTCGTATATGTTGTGCACTCGTTGCACCCTCGTTGCCAAGGATCAATAATCTGGTTCGAAGTGGCTGTCTCTTTTACAGCAGTTCAAGAACAGCGTGCATGTGTGCGCGCGAACATGGGTCGCTCTCTCAACCCCAGCAAAGGAAACAACTAACTCCAGCACAGGAAATCGCACCAGTACGGAGACAGCAAGTACGTATACCACTGCTGTGGCCGGCTGCTCCTGCAGTGCTGTGTCGCGTTCGGAGCGTATGGGGGTGGGGTTTGGGGAGGGAACACATCCAAACCGCCTCTCTCTAGAAAATCAGAACATAACCCTTGCGCGGGGACAGACTCACCCGCCCTTGCCAGCGCCAAGTCGTAAGTAGGAGGCCACTTCGTGCTCTTCCTAACCCTGGCCTGCTTTGCTGCTGGTGCTGCCACGACTTGGACATCATCGTCGCCTCGCCCGGCCGCTTGCTCCTCTCCTCCCCCTGCCTCGAGGTCTCGGGCGTGCTGCTGGCCTAGAGCCGCAAAGCCCACCCGACCGGCTGCCCGTGCCACCTCCCTCCTGGTAACCTCGTCGCGCGCCAGATCCAGGGCCTTTGCGCTGGGCGCTGGCCTTCTCTTTGGGCGGGTGCTGGACATGTTCGTAGCAGACTGCTGTGTGTGCGTGCGGGTCTGTTGTGGTGGTGGTGGCTGGTGTGGGTGTGTTGTTTCGAAGAAAGTTGCTTAAATAGTTTTCTTGGCAAAATTTTCCGCAAAACGAGCCTCGCTCCGCTCTAGAATCGAAATATTTTTTCCTTATTTCGGGTTCTGGCGAGACTGTCGGGAACGATCCTGGGAACGATGGCTTAACTGGAAATATATTTCCTTAAATAATTTTTTTTTGGGGTCCGAAACTGTCAATTTAGTTATTAATTTTCGTACCCCACATATCGTGTCGGGCTCCAAACCGTCTGTGTCTGAATTGTATCGCTTTGCGGAACCTCTGGATCCATTTTCGTTTATTTTCGAGGGTAGCTTCTCGTATGACCACGGGAATTGACCGTGTCTAGCGTGATGAGTACGGACAAGGGAGAGAACTGGGTGGAGAGATGTGAATGGTTTTATGTGAAGAAAACAACAATAACAACAACTCAACACACGATCAAGGGACTCTTTCACTGGTTCATTAACTACCAGTAGCTCCACCTCTGCGCTCATACGCTAGAGAGTACTGCTATTGATACAGCGTACACAGACGTGTCTGACACAGGAACCAAACCCAGCTTTGGTTAACATCCCATGCAAATTCATCCCAAGACAATGTTGTCTCTAGAGCTGCAACATCCGGTGCCTGAGGTTTCGTCCTACTCGCCACTCAGAACTCACGGTCTAGGGGGCGGGGTGTAGAGATTCGCATGTCCGTACTTCCATGGGGTCCATCAACGGCGGACGCCAGGCTTAGACACATGAAGGTCCAGAAGAAGATCATGTGTGCATATTACAAAAAAACTCCTGAATCGAGCGAGAGAACACACGGCGTGAATTGTGAGGGTTGGAGGGACGGCGACTATGCGGAGATTGAAAACGTATGAGTAGTGCGACCGTTCAGGTTGGTGCTCAAGGACCATCCACCGAGACCACCGTCATGGTCGGTAGATTGTGTGCCAACGCCAAGTGTGTGAGTATTTCGTGGGCTGCTGGTGTTGCTCGTTCAACGTAGGCTGCGGTGGTGCAGCGAGATGTTTTCCAATTTGCGACAAATACAAAATTCGTGGGTGTTTGGGGTGGGAAGCTAAAGCTTTGACCGAAGACTAGCGAACCCGGTTACTTAGACTATACAGCGCTCACCATTTTGCACAAAACGCTGATCGGAACAACAAAGGTCCGGAACCCATAAGCGGCGTTGTCACCACCCTCTTCAAAAGAGAACATCAACATACACCCACGACCAACGCAAAGCTCGAGGCGCGCGCGAGCAAGCCATTCTGCCAACCGCCCAACACCGACATTGCAGCTTGCTGTTCGATGCTCTTCGTATCATATCAGTGGCTTTGTACCGAAAGCTGCGAACGATTTACTCTGCTCGCTCAGCGGAAACTCGTTCCACGCCCTGAACTCCTCCTCCGAGGCTCCTGCCATCATACCTTCTCCTCCGTATCCTGGAGCTGTTCGTATATGCCCGGTTCTTGGATGGGAAATGTTTTATCGCTTTGATTAGAACGCCGACACAGGGGAGAGGAGGAGTGCGTCACCGCCAGCTCCAGCTCCACGAGGGGTCACCGCAAAAAGAACCCCCCCACGTATGCCTAAAATAATAAAATCCAATCTGCGTACAATAATCCGCTGCTGTTGTACGATCTAAAACCCAACAACATCAAGCGTGTGGCACTAAAAACTGCGACCCAAAAATGGGGTCTTGTGTATCGCTGGTGCTCAATCGAAAATTGGGTTCTTACCACTCGGGATAAAATAATATGAAGGGTTCAAGAAAAAACAGTTTCCACGCCAGATGTGTGATACAACAACGGCAGCCGAAGGCTTCCCACACCCGCCTACAATGCCGGAAGGTTCCGTGTCGGGTTCTCGCCCACCAGGCACCCCCCTAACCCGCACCACACCTCTGGATATGATTCCAGGGGTGCAGTGCTGGAGAGGGGGGCGATACACGCGTTCGTGTCATGAGGTATATCTTGGGGTGTTCCGAGTTTGAAGGAGGTTTGTGAGAGATCTCGCGACGCCGCACGATATATCGTGACACTTTTGGCCCCACCTCGTGACACGCCAAACTCCGTACCGGGTATGTATGATGCTATGAGGTGTTACGAGGTGGAAAAGAAATCGTGTTGGATTGACATGAGGGGTTGCGAGGCGTCCTGGTAATTGAGGTGCTTATGGTTCGAATTATGGTTCTGGCTTCCGTACGGCACCAGGCAACATGCCCCCCCACGCTCCATGACAAAACAATCTGGTGCGAAGCGACGATCAACAGCGACAGCTGCTCGATTTTCCCCCCGCGACCCTCACTTCGTGTCCGTTTCAAATGACAGAGACAAGATCTCTTTTCGTCGGAAGAGCGACGAAGGCGTCAAAATGTGATGTTAAGTTGGTGGTGGCCAGAACAACAAGCAGCTGGTGCAGCCATACATAGTCGGCAAGATCTAGCCATTCGGTTGGAGACAGTGCCCGAGGTAGCAGCCAGTTCTGCACACAACGAGAGGCGAACAATCAGGTTG